CAATGTGGAGCCTTCCCACAGAATCACAGTGTCAGCCTCTGCTTCGCTTACTTGCTATCGGCTGCCATAGAAACGGGGAGGGTGGGGGCATGGTATTTGGGATGGGAATAAATGGTACAGGAGGGGACATGGAAAAGGGAGTTTTCTTCTCACCATCTTTTGCGCATGCTGGTGGCTGGTGTTTGGACCTGGTCACGGTCAACCGTCCTACATACCAACGTGATGATGCCTTTTGGAGATACAATCCACATGACACCTCAGGGAGTTCCAGATTGGACACTGGGGTGGGGTCATTGGAGGGAGGGGGCTGGGTTATCATTTCATATGTACTTGTTCGCGCCTTTCTGGCTCAGATCTTGCTTTACTTTCGTTGCTATCTTTTCATAACCAGTAAAAGTATTTTAATTCCATAAATAATGGAGTTGGGAGGTTTTTTCCTTGATTATTGATGGAGGCACGCCTGACACACAGCTTTGGGAAAGGATTTTATCTCAGCACATATTCAGGGGGTGTGGGGTGTTGGAGTTTAATATCAGTAGCAATGAGGGGAAAAAATCAAATGCAAGAATGTGCTTTGTTTTTGGCCAACCTTATTTCATACATATAATCCCATTTCATAGAGGACTTTTAAAGGTCAAAACCAGCACCTTGAATTGATCCAGGAAAAAAATGGCAACCAATACAGCTAGGGGACCAGACCCGTAATGTGTGATCCAGAGCTAGAGGGGGGGAGCGAACTAGATTTCAGTGAAGGCCATATCAGGGTTGTGTTTGACTTTGGGGGGGGTGGGGGTTGGCATGTCCAGGGCGGACATGGCCAGCTCAATATCTCTCGTGTTGGGATATCTGTGGGGGCCTCAGCATTCTGCCAGAGAAAACGAGCTACTGAGCTCTATTTTCAGCTGTGACGCCTTCCTGTAACCCTCTACCAGTGAAAACGGAGCTCGGGAGGGCTCCGTTTTCACTGGCAGAGGCACTGTGGGCCAATCCTTCACTGTTTCCAGGGCAGCCCTGCAGGCCAGTTCTAAACTCCTGACAGACCAAATCCAGCCCACGGGCTTTGAGTTTGACACCCCTGATCTAGAGGAACACACATAACTATCTTTTTGCACCAGTGGAAGTTTCCCAATGTTCTTCAATTGTGTAAAAAAAAAAATCCTTTACCTGTAATGCATATGAAATACTTTTTTCATACATTTTTTTCATTCGTTTGATTTTGGCTATTTCTTGATAAAGAGGTATCAGTTCTGGAGCCGCATCTCCTTCGGCTGAAACGAGATCATCAACGGCCTTCTCAAAATACTTGGATGCCAAATCTAATTCGTTTTTCTGCAGACTTGCCCTAGGGACAAAAATAAAAATAAAAACAGCAGCTGGATTGTGGCGCAGTTGCCAAATCGTTGCATTCACTGGAGAGAATCTAGTTCAAGTCTAATTTCACTCAGAGAAGTTCTCTGACTTTGGTCCAGTCTCAAACCAAATTACTGAACAGAGCAGTTGTGGGAGAAGAATGCAAGGAAAAAAAATGCTAGTTATGGGGCCTTCAGCCTCTGGAGGAAATATGGGACATAAATCTACGAAAACATGTTTTTAAAAGATTCAGAGATGCTTCTAACAATATTTTGTTTGGATTGGCACATCACAATCAACGGAATCTTTTTAATGACATAGAATTTCAAAACTCAGAAAGGAGTCATTTCCTGATCAGCTTAGGTCCTAATTAACCTTAAACGACACCCAGGTACGTTTTGAGTTTTACCTTAAGCAAGTCAACTTATGCAAGTGAAACCTAGAAGTTCAGATTAAAATAGGGTTAATTCCCTTTGCTAGCTAACCTGCAAAAAATAGGGGTATTTTGTGCATCCCATAATTTAGTTACTTGGTTTTTAACTTTTATCCTGAAAATCAGGGATGGGTTCTGGCTTCTTTTACTGCCAGTTTGCTCAGGGATGCGCTTTGCACATGTGCGCTGGATGTGCACCATGCACACATGCGCAGTAGTGAAAAATTGCTTCTGTGCATGCGCAGAAGCAAAAAAGAAGATGGCAGCGCCCAGTGGTGGGTTCCATACCGGTTGCAACGGGGCCCGGCGTCCCCCACATGCACGCACGCAGCACGCGCGCACACACGCACACACACGCCTTACCTCCGCGACACATCTGAGATGCTCCAGCTGCTCAGCGGAGCATCACACAGGCTCCGTATGCTCCATGAGAGTGCGCAGAAGCACTGAAGAGCTCAAATACAGGTAAGGAGTTCAGGTGGGTGGGTGGGCGGCCCTCCAGAACACTGTACCAGAATGGCACCCAGTGTTCCCGGCAGGCATGGGTACGCCCGTACCAGGATGTACCGCCTGCAACCCACCACTGGCGGCGCTTATGGTGGCGTCGATAGAATCAGTTCAGGGGCGTGGCCAGCCGAGTTGCTACCTACTCTGCCGAACTGGTCCGTACTGGTAGGAACCCACCTCTGCTGCAAATACAGATTTACCCTGCATGGGCACTGGGGATGAAAATGAATGTAGAAAAATTGCTTAAACTTTGATTTGGTCATTCTAGGTTTTTAAATATTTAAACAAATCTCTCACAAAATAAAACTGAGATATTGGTCAAGGCAGATTGACTGAGTCAATCATTTACTCTGAAATGCAGCTAGTCCTTGATTTCTGAACCAGTCCCTTAGCAACCATTTGAAGCAGGGGTGGGATTCTACCTGCTCGGGAGAACCAGTAGCTCCGGTGATCAGTTGGGAGTAAACTGGTTCACTCCCACAATCAAGTGGCCCCACCTGCCCGCCCCTGCACTATATTGACCTATATCGTCTCAGCTGAGTTGCATGGCAGAGTGGATTGTCACGCCTCAGCTGTTTTCCTCCCCAGCAGTAATGAGGAAGGCAAGCTTTCTCAAAACTGCGAAGCGCGTGATCACCGAACCAGTGATTAAACCAGTAGGATCCCACCATTGATTTGAAGTTATGAAGGATTCCCCCCAAATCCCCCAGTTTTGAAGTTACTGTGTCAGTTCTTCCCATGTAGCCACATGTCTGCGTTTTGGATACTCAGCCATCAGCCTGAATTTACATATAGTTGAGCGCCCCATAGTCACGTGACTGCAATTTAAGCGATTTTTACTGGAAACCGATGTTTCCTCCCATTTTCCAACAGAACCCAGCACATAGTAAACAATGGCTTCACTTAATGACTGCCACGTTTGGTTACAACCACCACAAAAAGATGGTCCAGAGGTCCAGTCACATGGTGACCCACTATACAACCATCACAACTTATGGCCACAATTGCCAGATTCTATTATAGCCTTGTTGAAGACTACCATATTTTTTGGAGTGTAAGACGCACCGGAGTATAAGATGCACCCAGGTTTTGAAGAGGCAATTTTTTTTTTAAAAAAGTAGGTAGGTAGATAGAGGGATAGATATGGATAGAAGGAGAGAGAAATACTGTAGGTAGGTAGGGAAAGAGAGGGAGTAGTTAGGTAGGTAGGTAGGTAGGTAGGTAGATAAAGGGAGAGAGAGAGAGAGAGGGAGAGGGAGAGGGAGAAATACAGTAGGTAAGGAGGGAGGGAGAGAGAGAGAGTGTAGATAGGTAGGTAGGTAGATAAAGGGAGAGAGAGAGAGAGAGGGAGAGGGAGAGGGAGAAATACAGTAGGGAAGGAGGGAGGGAGAGAGAGAGAGTGTAGATAGGTAGGTAGGTAGAGGGATAGAGAGAGAAATAGAGAGAGATAGAGAAATACAGTAGATAGGTAGGGAGAGAGAGAAAGAGTAGGTAGGTTGGTAGGTAGAGGGATAGAGAAAGAAAATGGAGAGAAATACAGTAGATAGGTAGAGGGGGGGAGAAAGTAGGTAGGTAGGTATATAGGTAGATAGAGGGAGGGAGAGAAATACAGTAGGTATGTAGGGAGTGAGTGAGAGTAGGTAGGTAGGTGGGTAGACGTTTCCAGATGTATTTATCCATGTGCTGGAGAAGGAAATAGCTGACATCCTGTAGCACCTAAAACTTTGTTTCTGCTGGCACAGCACTTGATCAATGTAATTGTCATCAACCACTCTAACTAAACAGCTTTTCGAAAGGGGAAAAAAGTTTTTGCACTCTGCAAACCTCCCATTTTTCACGAAAACAGGCTGTTTTTTGTTAAAAAAATTGCATGCATAGCCTTATGGAGGCTTATAGAATACTGCTGGGGGCTGGGAGGGGGGTTTGCTCATTTCTGCTCCTCCCCAGGAGCTCTCTGAAAGCCTCCATAACGCTATGCATGGCCATTTTGGTGAAGGGGCGGGGCTTCAGGAGGCAAAAAAGAGCTGTATTCGATGTATAAGACTCACTCAGATTTTCAGCATCTTTTTTTAGGAAAAAAGGTACGTCTTATATTCTGAAAAATATGGTACATCTAATGGCAGGCTGAACCAGTCAGGTCTTGAAAAGGAAATGTGTTAGCTGACAACACCAATCTTAATTATTGGTTACTCTTATCTATGGATTGCGTGAGACTTGTGGACAGTGACCATATGGCCTTGCCTAGAAAGGTCATTAAATTGCATTGCCGTCTCAGAGCTGTCTATGTCTAAGCTTGACTGTCTTTAACCATGTTTATTCCTAGATATGTAAACTTAATAAGCTAAAGGTATCAATCTGAGTTGGGTGCTGGGTTGTTGGCGAGATTTCCATCAGTGAAATTGGAATGGATTCAATTTTTCAGATTTTTCTTCAGCTTTCTGATAAAGTATTTTTTGTGGACAATTTTCTTCCCCAAATCATTTAATTATTCTAACCTAGTCTAAAGTCTGACCAGCTATTTGTTGTGATTTTCCTCAACAGATGATGGTTGCACTGCAGGTTTTTAGTAGGGAGGTAGCTAAATTTTTGGCAGCGTTACAATATTAGAATATTGCTGTAATTGGTGCAAAAAAAAAAGCAGTTGGAAACTACGGATCGAATGGTCACTAAATAAATTGTTGTAAGCCAAGGACACACCTGTATATGTTGCCCATATTAAGGTCACCTCTGCCCTTAATCTGTTCATATAATGCTGAACCTATGGCACAGGTGGCACAGGTGGCATGCAGAGCCCCCTCTGTGGGCACACAAGCTGTCACCCCAGCTCAGCTCCACCGCGCATGTGTGCACCTCCCTCCGGCCAGCTGTTTTTCAGCTCTCTGCTACGCATACATTGGGGGGTGGGTGGAGTGCATGTGGGAGACTTGTGCGCATGCATGGGGGAGCGCGGGCGGTTTGCACACCCACGCATGGGGGGAGGGTGCACGGGGGTTGCGTGCGCATGCACNAAACTTTTGCTTTTCGGTGCTAGGTCTGGAAGCATTTCAGCTTTGCCATTTGACTTAAGATCTATTCAGAAGCGGGCTTCAAAATTTTTAGCAGGTGGTTCTCTGCACAGTTGCTGGGTGGGCTTTGCCATGGCGGGCGTGGCCTTGTTGGTCTCCTGCACCACGGGGGGGGGGCATTTTTGTCCTCCCCAGGCTCCAGAGGCTTTCCTCAAGCCCCAGGAGTGCAAAAACGGCCTTTCCAGGTTCCAGAGGCCCTCTGGAAGCTGGAAATGGGCCCTTCCCAAACTTCCAGTAGGTCCATTTTTCACCCTCCCCAAGTCTCCCTCCGTGTCCTGCACTTATCTGCATTCAAAACGGGCTGTATGAGGACTCCTGGGAGGTAAGGGGTGGGTGGGCAGGGCCAGCCAGGAGTGGGATTTGGGGGGTTCTCTGAACGGCACAGAATCTTAGCTAGAGGTTCTCCCGAACCCCTGCAAACCCCCAGCAGTGTTGTTGTTGTTGCTATTGTTGTTGTTGTGTTGTTACCTTTCAACCAAAGTGGTACCTATTCATCTACTCGCATTTGCATGCTTTCAGCTTGCTAGTTTGGCGGGAACCCTAGTCATCATTTCGTTTGGGGGGATCTTGGAGTCCTAGTGGACAGTCACTTAAATATAAGGCAGCCATGTAGTGCAATTGCCAAACAAGCCTACACAATCCTAGGCTGCATTAACAGAGGGATAGAATCAAGATCACATTAAGGGTTAATACTGCCTTATAATGAGTTTGTAAGGCCACACTTGGAATCCGGTATTCACTTTTGGTCACCACAACGTAAAAAAAATGTTGAGACTCTATAAAGAGTGCAGAGAAGAGCAACAAAGCTGATTAGAGTCCTGGGGGCTAAAACATAGGAAGAACAGTTGCAGGAACTGGGTAGGTCTAGTTTAATGAAAAGAAGGACTAGGCGTGACATGATAGCAGTGTTCCAATATCTCAGGGGTGCCACAAGGAAGAGGGAGTCAAGCTATTCTCCAAATCACCTGAAGGCAGGACAAGAAGCAA